TGTGCTCTTCCGATCTCCCCAAAACCCCAAAACCCCGCCTTGCATTATATATCACTTTTAACAGATTATTAAATTTTAAATAATTAAAAAAGAATTTATTCATTTTAAGTAGTCTCTGTTTCGTTTATCTAGCTTTAACTTTAATTATTCTCATATTTCCTCATCATATTCATGATATTCGTCGTACTCATTGTGTTCAGATATTTGATCTTGTGCTAGGCTGTCATTATTATTTATTGTCTTATTAAAAGCAATGCTTTTATCTAATTTAGAGGTATCTTGATTATAGATTGAAAGAATTGAGTGATCCTTTAAGGGAGTTATGCCATGAGAATCGATACTATCTTATATAATATGAGGTTAGACCTCCTATTTATTTGTGACCATCTCAGACAATACATTAGAAGTGTAATTTTAAGTCAGTGATTATTGCTGTAGGTAGGGATCTCTTTAACCAGGGTTAGTCAACAATTAACTGCTGTTATATTCATTGTCCTAAATAAATTCTTCATCATCCTAATAGTTTTCTCCTTTCGATTCTTCGTCAAGTGGTACGAAAGATTCCTTATACTACTCTGAAATATTACTTTCAGGTGGCTGCTCAACTTTTGAAGCTTTTGAATTCGGTTCTTCCTCAAAGTTATTAGTTTCATAGTCTGAAAGTTATTGCTCACCCTCATGATCTTCAGGGTAAGTATCATCTAAATTCTTCACCTCTTGAACTTATTGCTATATTTAATCTTATTAGCCAGCTTCTTATTCATTTGTATTGTATTCATCATATTCTTAATCTTAGTATTCTTCTTATTCCTCATCTTGATTTTAAGATTCCTATTTAAAATCTAATTCAGATTTTTTATCAAGTTATTCTTATTATTACTCATCCTCCTATTCTAATTATTATTCATTCTACTCATCTTATTGTATATAATTGTCGTCATCTTATTATTACTTATTTTCGTCATCTAATTACTAGGAATTAAAGTCTAGTTCTCCCTCATTATTTTGTTCTTATATTTAAATTGGCTCTTCGTCATCATTCTAAAGGATATTACTCTGATGTGAATAGTCTTATTACAAGTGGTCTTTCAATGACTAGTTAAGGTGCAAGTTTTCACCTGATATATTAACTTGTTCATTTTAAGAATCTTGTTGTATTGATTAAGTTTCTCTTGCATGAGATGCCTTACTTTTACTAAGCTTGCTCTAGGTCTACTTGCTTTGCTAACTTGAATTTGATATCTAGCTTTTTAGACTGCCTTATCTCAAAACTAAAGATTCTTGCTCATCTTTTATGCTTTAATTCATTAGTATGTCATTTGGCTTATCAGAAATGGTTTAGTTAGTTTTTTACTTCTTAATAGAACTATTTTTTTAAATAGATGAAGTCTTTGAGTGAAGAGATTTTTTCTTTTGAGATATTTCACTATGTTTAGTTTCATCCATTTATACTGCTGGCTCTTAATTTTGGTTTGGTGATTCTTAGATGTTGATCTCTTTCCTTGAGGTATTAAAACTATTCTAAGTCTTAGAAAGCTTAGGCTTTGGACTTTGCCCTCTCATTTTTGAAGGAATATAGATTTGATTCATCGCAGCCTTAGTGTTTTTTTGAATAGAACCTACCCTATTTGGGCTTTAATTTACTGAGTTTCGCTTCAATCCGGAAGGACTTGCTTCAAGAGTCCTTAATTGCTTTTAATAATAGGTACCATTTCCAAAACCTAATTAATATGGGTTTCTTACACCCCCTCTCTTAGTTAAAAGCATTTCCGCCATTTCAGATTAAGATTGTCTTACTTCCTCACCATCTATTGGAATCTTTTCATTGCTCGTGATATCTCCTTCAGTATAAAGTCTTTAATTGTCAACATTTTTTGAATTCCTTAATGATACTGGAGGCAAGTTGTTTTGAATATCCTTTCTTTTTCTAATGAAACCTTCAATAGGAAGGGGCTGTGTCTTTTATAAAATTTTCTTGAATTACAATCTTTTCCGGTATTCTTATTCTAATTTCTTCACTGAAACAGCAGGAGCTCTATAATATCAGGAATTTATGAGAATAAATTAAATTTACTGTTTCAAGATATGAGACATGATTTTCTTATTTTCATAATCGATTCTTTCAGCCTCTCTTTTCTTAGAAACGTAATGTAATGATCTCTAAACTAGCATGGCTGATTTAGCTCCAGACATCACACTCTACATATGAGACATTTATTGTTACTAATTCGCACTTATGTCATTCTTAAAATCATCTTATTCGTTAGATTGTTTTTAGCCTAAATCATATATTCCGTGACTTATTGTTTAAAATTAACCACCTCCATTTCTTGTCATTCCATCTGTTTTTGCAGTTCTGCTATTGAATCGATACAAAGACTATAAGTTAAATATTCTCTACTTATTAAATATATACCTGTTTACCCTAAGAAATCTCCATTAATCTATCGAGGAGCTTTTGGTTTTACTTTTTGATCTCGTAGAGTTTCTCTAATATAACTTTGAGTAATAGTTTATTTACCATTTTCATTAAATTCATGTGTTTTCAACCGATTATTGATATGTCTATTAGACCTAGCTATCTATTCCTTATCAAGTAAGTCACTTTTCTAAACCTTCTTTCTCTATATGTCATTCTTCATTTCAATGAGCTTTTATTAATGTCTTTCATAAGATCTAATAGAAAAAATTAAGCTAAAATTTTTACTAGAATCTTTCCATAGCATCAGACATATTCTTGTCTACAAACCTTGAACCAATCATTTCTTTAAAAATTAATAATTTTTATTTTCATAATTTCCTTGATGTTAAGTAACAGTTTACTTTGGGGTTTTGGGGTTTTGGGGTTTTGGGG